GTACAAAAAAAAGTATGTGCATGTGTAACACAAAAGCACACATATACCTTTATTTTTATTGTATCTTCTAAAATACTCTCATCTGGAAAGGAATAGTGATGCAGAGTAATATATAATCAAGCCACTAAGTAATAATTTAGCTAATTACCAAGAAAAAAGTTCCTGATTAATTCAAATTATTAATGAAGAGACAGTGAAATTTCTTTTTTTAATTATCTGAATGTTTTAATTCTCTATGTTAAAGCACCAGGAACACTTTAAAAAGTGTAACTTTTGGTTATATAGGTATACATGTGCCACTGCTTGACAATTAGTAGATATTAAATTAAAGAAGTCAATATTATAATTTTCCATATCCTTTAGGTTTTAAAGCACTTGAATTTAATACTTCTTTCTGGTTACTTTTCCTGATACCTTGGAAACCATAGGTTTTATGATGCTTGGTCTCTATCTAGTAATTTCAAAATCACAAGCATAAGTAATTGGTAATTATACTACGGTTCTGTGAAATGTTTTGAACAATAATTATGATTTTACAAATAATCCTTATGGCTATTTTGTCTGTTTCAAGAGTGCCAGAATATGTTTCCTAGAGTGAAAGCACCTCTGGTTACCACCAGAAATTCAGGAACCGGGGACAGTCTGTAAGAATTCCTTAAGATTTATAAACCTATTTAACTTTCCATGGTTTTTTCAGAAAGTGTGTTTATTATTTCATATCTGATTTCTCTCAGAATGTAATAGTAAAATTCTAAAAGTGAAAAGGATCTCTGATGTTTATCTCCAGGTTTCTGTCTAAATTCCCTATGCACACGTCCTGTCTGCGCAGTGACTTTCAGGGTTCTCAGTGCTAAACCATCAGAATGGGTCTCCTAATTCCTCTCCTTCCTCTCCTATGGTTTCCCAGCTGGAAAAAGGGAACTGGTACGCACACTGCTTTTAAGCCAGAAACTGTATTTAACTATATGTGTATTTATTCAGATATAGCCAACAGAGAACAAAGAGCATAGATTATATGCAACTGAAGAATGTAGCCTGGCTAACTTCTGCTTCAAGTGCACTGTGCAACCAGCACCCAGACCACTTTCAAGATGAATGTGTTTCTTTTGTGACTCTCTGAGAGACAACAGATCATCTCTCCCAGCTCTGCTACCCTGTTCCATAAATTCTTTTCACTTTTTCCGTCTCCACTACTTCCACCATGGTCGTCTTTCACCTGAGCTGCCCTAGTCCTGTCCCTACTTTTCTCTCGCAGTGATGTCTTTTAAAAGTCATAACTCTGACCATCATTGCCCTTACTTTCGTCACCAACTTTCTTTCACAGTTAGAATCGATAGAAACTCATTACTGAGCTTGAAAATAAACATCCTCAAAATGTGGTGCCTGGCATCCTTCTTTCAATCTCACCTTCCTCTAATTTTTGTTCAACATGTTACAGGTGTGTCACTTATTTATTGCTTGGTTGTTATTCTTTAGTTCCTGTAAAATGCTAGCAGGGTCTTTTGTACACGCTTCTCCATTGTTTTGACTGCTTTCTCTCTGCTTTCTCCACACGCCACCCCTTGCTGATCCACAATCATGCCCAGGCTACACACTGCTTTTCATGCTCGCTTCTTTCTTCTTTCTCAGCTTACACATCATCCCCTGATAGAGCATCTTCTGTCCCACTTTCACCTAAAGGGTATCTTCCAGTTACTCAGAAAGTCTCATCCTTTTTCTTTAGAATGTCAAACAGTTTGCAATTTATGTATTCAAGAGTTATTTCTAGTGATATATTGCCTCGCCACCAGATCTCCTTAAGGAAGGACAAAGAATGTGATTTCAAACCAATGTCCTAATAGCTGCACCTGGCACAAAATACCTACATAATAAATAACTTCTGAATGAATGAATGAGTATGTTCTCATATCTAAGAACAGTGCAAAAGGTGAAAATCAAGAAGAAATAAAAGTTGCATGGACATACAGGCCTTTTAAGAAGAGAAAGGTTTAACTTAGAGAAGAAATTTGTTCTTAATAGAATACATTTCTGAAATTGATCCAGGAAGGTGTTGTTTTCCTGAGCCAAACATCACCATGAGCCCAGCATGTTCTCCTGGGATATCCTGGGGAGAAAATTAATGCAACTTAATGTCTTTCTTGATTGATTCATGTGTTCTTTGACACCACAGCTAATCTCGTTGCAAGATGTTTGCAGATACCTGATTCATGTTTTCCTATCATTCCTATAGAGTTAGCAGATGATCTGAATCCTGCATCTCAGCTTGAAGGAAAAAGATGGGGCAAGTTGAGAGACATGCAAGCAAAGGCAAGAAACCTTTTCAGAAAAAGCAGAAGGTTGTATTCTATGTGAGCAGTGATTTTGAATTTTGTCTTTTGGAAGATTTAAATTTTATTTTTACTTTTTCCAATTCAATTTTGATAACCTCGGTCTTAGTAAAGTTTTACTAAACACCATAACCTGGTGTTAGCTATACTTTGGGGAATACAGAAAAGATTTGGTTCAACACTTGGTACCTGGAAATATAAGGCAGGATGGTAGCAACCCAACGCAGGGATACAATGAGGAAAGAAATAGCCTGCAAGGGTGCTCAGAGCAGCAGATTAGAATAAGAACTGCCGAATCACTACAGGATGGGTCCGTCTCACATTTTCTGTATTCCTTAAGATTTGGAGACATTTGGAGGAGGGAAATCTTACTTCCCATGGCTGTGCAGCGCAGGGCACATTCCATGTGATTGGTGTTAAAGAAATGAATGATCTCTGAAGCCTAAAGAGCTTGGAAATATTTAGGTTAACTTTCTTGGTTTAAAATTCTCTCAGACATTTTGACTTTGAAGAAGAGCAAGAGTCAAAAACTTCCATTAATATAGTGGGCTTCCTTTCTTCTTCCTTCTTTCCTTCCTACCTTCTTCTTCCTCTCTCTCTCTCTGTCTCTCTCTCTCTCTCTGTCTCTGTCTCTCTCTCTCTCTGTCTCTCTCTCTGTCTCTCTCTCTGTCTCTGTCTCTCTGTCTCTCTGTCTCTCTGTCTCTCTCTCTCTCTCTCTCTCTCTCTGTCTCTCTCACACCCACACACGTACACACACACACATTCTGGGGATTCAACCCAGGGGCCTAATGGGCAAATACTCTGCCTGCTGAACTACATTCCCACATTTATATATTTATGGACAAGGTCTAAATAGGTTGCCCACCTTATACTTGAATTTATGAACCTACCAGGTAGGCATTTTGCCCTGCTCCCAGCTTGAAATGTTCTATTTGAAAAACTGAAAACAATGACTGAATTCAGTAGGTCATCAGTCCTGTACATTTTGTATTGAGCTAGTTGAATTTTCATTACTCAGAATACCTAAATTGATGAGACACTTTAGGAAATGGAAAATGTGATGAACATCCAAAAAGGTAGTGTAGGGAAAGGTCATCTGGCCCCCTGGTAACTTGCCATGTGTGCATGGATGATGGAATTAGGATTTTAAAAATGAGAAAGGTACAAAAAAGGAATGAATGCTCAAGGTATGTAATAGTGAAATGGAATTAGACAATGAGCGGTGATATACTGCCAGAGAAGAATTCTGTAGGCTTCGCAATTTTGCTTCTGCTTTATTTAATCATTTTTTAAATTCCATCATTCCTAAATGAGTCAGCAGTTTAATTGGATACAGTTGTTAAAACACCCCAAATAAAATAATCAGCTCAGCCACATTTGAATATGTTAGAAAGGCAGGAGAGAAAGGGAGAAAACATTTATGCATAACATGTGGCCTTACTCCCAACAACACTGGTAAAGACTTGAACAAATTTGACTTAAATTCTGAATAACGAGAGAGATATTTTACTGGATTTGTTGGATAATTGCCTCAATTCAAATGTTTATTTCATGAAACACTGTACCTAACAGGAAATGCTTAAAACATTTCTCTCCAACTAGAAATGACTATGTGTGTCATTTCTGGTTGAAATAAAAATGCAGTGAAAACAGAAACAAACATTGATTATTTGGAATAGTGGCTGCCATTCTCCAAGGTCTTTCTCTGTGCCTTGTCCTGTGCTGAGAATTCTGCTTGCCCATCTGAAGTCATCCTCAGAGTCAGCTGTTTGAGTAGGTATGGTAATTACCCCTGTTCCACAAATAAGGAAAGAAATGTTCTAAGAAGTGGAGAAATTTCCTAACCATCTAAGTCCTCACTACTAGTTAGGGATGAAGCCAAAGACTGGACAAGTCTGTTTGAGTCAAAAGCTGGAGATCAGCTCAGTATGCAAGATTTCCATGAATGAGAAGCAACAGTTACTACTTGTTGGGGGCCCTGGCCGGGTGATATGAGGCCTGTAGGAAAGAGTGAAGCCTGAGCTAGATTACCCCTCCCATCGAGTGTGCCAAGATGGCGCTTATATCCTGCTTCCTGCTTAGTAAACAACACACCCTGTAAGACAGTCCGCCCAGCAACAACTGCCGTTAGCCAATCAGCTTGCCTTGCCTACTTTAATATGATTGGACACTGTATCCGTATATATACTGGTGCCACCCTTGGGGAGAGGCAGAATAGGAAGGAGATATAGGAGAGAATAGAGTAAGAGAGAAGAAGCGCAGAGAGAAGCACGCAAGGAGCCGCGGAGGGCGGACCAGAGGAGGCTTCCCTCGGGCGGGATCGGGGATCCCGGAGCAGGCTGTACGGAGAGAGAGAATAAACGGAAAGGTTGTCCGCCAACAACTCTTGTCGTGTGCTTTTCCTGCCGGCCGGGACCGACACCGACAATTGGTGGCCCGTACGGGGAACTGATCACCCCCGAGACGAGGCAGACAACGCTCCAGTACTGCACTGCAGGACAGGTGAGTAGGGGATAAACCTGGGCTCTGGGTGGCGCGCACCTATAGGGCTTTTTAGACTCCCCTCAGGCTCACGTGTACGTGGCAGACTAGCCTCACACGGTGAGAACAAACTTCTCAGTGACAGGCATGGGCAACTTACCCACTAAGAGTTCCAAGTCACTGGTAAGAGCAATGAAAGACCTGCTCAAGATTTCAGGCATATCAATAAGTTCCAAGACACTTGCAGAATTCCTCCAACAAATAGATGAGGCGGCACCCTGGTTCCTGCCGACGGGACATTTGTCCCTGCCTTGTTGGGAGAAATTGGGTAAAGATTTAGAACGAGCAGAAGCGGAGTGCCGGCTTCCACTTTCGGTTCGGCCGCTCTGGGAGATGATTCATTCCTGCCTCAAAGGGGAGAGGAACGGGGCTAAAGATAGCGCGGACGGGCTCTCTCGGGCCCGCCGAGCTTTTGAGGGGGCCCGCTCGGAGTCCTCCCGGGAGGGGTCCGTCGCAGGGAGCGTGCGAGGGCGCTCGCGAGAGCGAGGCAAGAGAGAGGCGCCCCCTGCCTCGGATTCCTCAGACTCAGATACCTCGGAGGGCGAGGACAATGAGGTAAGTGACTCCCCTAATCCCTTCGCAGCTTTACGTAGAGATCTAGTCAAGATGCAGACAGACCTAAAAAAGGGAAAAGAACTCTTGAGCACTCCCCAACGGAAGGTCATAGAGCCTTCCGCGCCACCCTGGGGGGTCCCAAACGCCAGTTCCTATGGGGAGATGGCAGCCTGGGGCCCACCTCCGTTGCCACCCCCATGGAGGGAGTGGCCTGGACCGTTGTCACATGCAGAGCCGCCATCTTATTTGCCTGGCGACCCGCCATCTTGTGCCCTAAAGGCTGGTCGGCCATGTTGTAAAGAGGCGCCATTTTGTGATAGGGAGAGACAGTCATCTCACAGGGAGACACCATCTTGTGAGAGAATACCAAGGTCCCAAGAAAAGTACTTTCGTAGATGGACATTTAAGATGGAACAAATCCCCCATGGGGCAAATGAGTACGAACAATGTGGGTTCTATCCGGTACACCTGGCGCAAGGCCAGGGACCCAATTACTGGGAACCACTGGAGATTAAGCAAATTAAGGAGCTCAAAACTGCGGTTGCCACGTTTGGCCCTACTGCTCCTTACACTATAACAATGTTGGAAAATCTGTCCGCCGGTGGTTTCCTGACACCCAGTGATTGGACCCAGTTGGCTAAAGCCTGCCTGGCCCCCGGGGCTTTTCTGGACTGGCGCGCCTGGTACACTGAGTTTGCTGCCGAGCAGGCCGAGAGAAATGCGGCTAGGGGCCATAGGGGACAAAATGAGGACATGCTTATGGGTAAGGGTCAATATGCCCAAGATCAAACCAGATTCCCTCCAGGTGTATATGAACAAATACACAACATAGGTATTCGTGCCTGGAAGCAGGTAAACAACACAGGAGCGGCCTCACAATGCCTCTCTAAAATTGTTCAGGGCAACGCAGAACCTTTTGTGGATTTTGTGGCCAGAATGCAAGAGGCAGCCGATAGACTCTTTTCAGATCCGATTGCTGCTGCTCCTCTTGTTAAACAGTTGATCTTTGAGCAGTGCACCAAGGACTGCAGGGCAGCCATAGCGCCCCACAAGGGTAAAGACATAGAAGCTTGGATCAAGATTTGCAGAGAAATAGGAGGGCCACTGTCCAACTCAGGCGTGGCTGCCCTTTTAGCTGCCGCTTTACGACAGACAAGGCCTCAGAAGGCTAATGACCCTGGTAAGCCCAGGGGATGCTTCCAGTGTGGGGATCCTAACCACATAAGAAAAAACTGCCCCAAGACTGGACGGGGGGAATTTATACCCAGAAGACAGGAATCAGACAAACAAACGGGGACCTGCGAAAGGTGCGGTAAAGGTTCTCACAAAGCAAAAGATTGCAGATCAGTTTTTGATGCCCAGGGAAACCGTATTAGTGGCAGGGAGATTCCGGAGCCAAAAAACGGCCAGAGGGGGCCCTCCTTACGGATGGGCCCCCACCCCCTAGACAGGACAGCACAAGGTGGCAGCCCCCCACAAGGGCTACCCCTGGGTCAGCAGGCGTGGACCTCTGTGTCGCCTCCAGACTCCTATTAACACCCGATATGGGCGTTCAGGTGGTCGGGACCACCTTCAAAGGACCGCTACCTGAAAAGTCAGTTGGTTTAGTGATTGGACGGTCCTCCACAGCCCTCCGGGGCCTTACCGTGATCCCTGGAGTTATAGACTCAGACTACACAGGAAACATTAAGATTATGGTACAATCTCATGTAGGGACCATGGTGATTAATGAGGGGGATAAGATAGCACAACTTTTATTGCTCCCCAGTCTCCATGAGAGATTCCAGTCTAGACAACGGGTTAGAGGGGATCAGGGTTTTGGCTCCTCTGGAGAAATTTTTGAAGGACTTCATATGACTCTTGATAAAAGACCCATGCTCTCGCTCAGGGTTAATGGTAAAAAAATAACAGGACTCCTGGATACAGGGGCAGACCGCTCCATTGTCTCCAAGAAAGACTGGCCTTCTAGCTGGCCCACCAATACAGCTGATAACACACTCCAAGGGTTGGGGATGATGGCTGCCCCCCAGGTTAGTGCCGTGACCCTGCCTTGGTGTGATGAGGAAGGTCACCAAGGACATTTTCAACCTTTTGTTCTACAGCTGCCGATATCCTTGTGGGGAAGAGACATCCTCACTCAGATGGATGTCACTCTTACATCCACCTGTTCTCCCCAAGCTAAAGGCATACTTAGAAATCAGGGATATGTCCCTGGCAAGGGCTTGGGCTCTGCCCTGCAGGGCCGGACATCTCCCGTGTCTGTAGAAAAAAGGAAAGATAGACATGGGCTGGGTTTTCCCTAGGGGCCACTGAGAAAGTTCTCCTGCCCACTCCAATTAAGATCACTTGGAAATCCCAAAATCCGGTTTGGGTACCTCAGTGGCCCCTACCCAGGGAGAAGCTTTTAGCATTAACCGAGATAGTCAAAACCCAGTTTCAGGCAGGGCACATAAAGCCATCAACCTCCCCTTGGAATACCCCTGTTTTTGTTATTAGAAAGAAATCAGGTAAGTGGAGGCTGCTCCATGATCTAAGGGCAGTCAACGCGCAGATGCAACCCCTGGGGGCGATCCAGAGGGGGCTGCCAGCTCTCTCGGCCATCCCTCAGTCCTGGCCAGTTTATGTTATAGATCTTAGAGACTGTTTCTTCTCAATCCCCCTGCATCCAGAGGACACCCATAGATTCGCCTTTACCCTACCCACCATTAACCAAGAAAGTCCTGATCAGAGGTACGAGTGGGTCACATTACCCCAGGGTATGGCCAACAGTCCCACCATGTGTCAGATTTACCTTGATTCTCTACTGGCCCCCCTACGCGAGGCCTTCCCCAGAGTTAGGTGTATTCATTACATGGATGATCTGCTGATCAGTGCAAAAGATGTAAATAGGTTAGAGGATATGCTAGGCCAACTGGTCAAGGCCCTAAGAAAGGCCAATTTACATATTGCCCCTGACAAGATTCAGGGAGGAGACATAGTAACCTACTTGGGTACCAAAGTCTCCCCTACATCGATTTCTCCACAGAAGGTAACCATCAGAACAGATAATCTTACAACCCTAAATGACATGCAAAAGTTATTGGGAGATATAAATTGGATCAGACCTTACTTGCACATCCCTAATTCGGACTTAAAGCCCCTGTTTGATCTCCTGAGAGGAGATCCGGATATTGCCTCCCCTAGAGAGTTCACCCCAGAAGCCAGAGTTGCTCTAAAAAAGATAGAAGAGGCCCTAAGCAAAGCTACATTACAGAGAATTGACCCAGAACAGCCTTTTGAGGTCTGCTTGTTGCAGACCAGTTCTCAGCCCACGGCAGTGATTTGGCAGAAAGGACCACTTCTGTGGGTGCACCCTAAGGTTTCACCTGCCAAGATTATTGAACATTACCCGGAAACAGTTGCTTCCCTGGCTCTGGAGGCACATGGTAGAGCCATCCAGCATTTTGGCTCCACGCCTCACGCTATTCGGGTGCCTTATACCGCTTCTCAAATAAAAATCCTGACTGCTTGCATAGATACTTGGGCCATCCTGAGATGTGTTTTTCTTGGGGAGATAGACAATCAGTTCCCCAAGGACCCTATACTACAGTTTGTTACTCAACATCCGGTGATATTTCCAAAAATCACCGCCCCTGCACCCCTTACTCCTGCAACAACGGTCTATACTGATGGGTCAAAAACCGGGATAGGGGCCTATGTGGTCTCAGGTATGCCTCCGATCAGCATACAATTTGAACCAGATCAACCACAAGTGGTAGAGTTACAAATTGTACAAACCGTCCTCGAGAAGTTCCCAGGAGCCCTTAATATTATCTCTGATTCAAAATATGTGATCAATGCCATACAGGTCCTTGAGACTGCAGGCCCAATTAAGCCAACCTCCAAAGTGACTAATTTGTTTCTGTCTATCCAGACATTGCTCATAAATAGACACAACAAAATATACATCACTCACATAAGAGCACATACACGCCTACCAGGGCCCATGGTACAGGGCAATGCGGCTGCTGACGCGGCCACTCGCCCGTTGTGGATTTTCAATATGTTATCTCCAATAGAGCAAGCCCGTCAGTTCCATGACAAATTCCATGTCAACGCCAGGACGCTAGCCAACCAGTACCACATCTCCAGGGCTGACGCGCGGGACATCGTGCGACTGTGCGGCTCATGCACCACATACACGCCTGCCGTATCAACGGGGGTTAACCCCAGGGGGTTGATCCCTGGCGATACTTGGCAAATGGATGTCACACACATGACAAAATTTGGATCTCTTAAATATGTCCATGTCTCCACGGACACCTGTTCTCATATTATATTCGCGACTGCGGAGACAGGCGAAAAGGTGTCTAATGTGATAAACCATTGCTTGGCGGCCTGGGCCGCATGGGACAAACCAAAAATATTAAAAACTGATAATGGACCAGCCTATATAGGCAAAGCCTTTAATGAGTTCTGCAAAAAAATGGGGGTTCAATTAAAACATGGTATTCCATACAATCCCCAAGGTCAAGGAATCATTGAAAGGGCTCATAGAAGCCTTAAAGAAATTCTACAAAAACAAAAAGGGGGAGTAAGCCAGGGCCTGCCCCCAAAGGCACGGCTCTCCATGGCACTATTCACATACAATTTTTTGAACCTGAACAACAACAACCACTCCCCGGCTATGGAACATTGTAATCCATCTCCTAGCAATAGGGGATGGGTGAAATGGAAAGATGTCCTGACGGGACAATGGATGGGCCCGGATCCAGTAGTCAGCTGGAACCGAGGTGCGGTTTGTGTTTTCCCACAGGAACCAGGAAGAGAACCATTGTGGGTTCCAGAACGGCTGACGCGCGTAGCGAATCCAACGGAGCGCAATGCAGGGGACACTCCAAAACTCAACGGCAACGAACAGCCCGGTCAAGATCGGTCCGACCAGGATACTGCTGCTCGACCGAGCGATACCGTATGACTTCTGGAGCACAATAATGATTATGCTCTCTATAGTAATTGGTTCTCTTTTAGGGTACGGCGCAGCCAGAATGGCTAGGCCACGCCGCCTCCCGGCAACCCCTTTCCTCCCGGCTCTGATGCTCACCACCACCACTGAAATAGGAGCAGACCTGGTATGGGCGGCAATACACCATCCGCCAGCGCTGGCCATGATTTCTACTACAGCCCCCTCTCTCCCAAAGCTGTACGCAAAAAGCTGCTCCGCCAGATTGCCCTGCATACCAGATATACCGCTAACCATCAAACCCATACGTTTTGACCTCCCCATCACTAATGATGTGGTCATCTTTTCCACTGTTAGCTACCCCTCATGTCATCTGGGATCATGCATAGGCTTCCTGCCCTTTTTTATAAAATGGCACGACACCTCCCTGACGGTAAAGTTGTCCGCCCCATTTCTGTATCCGCCTGAATGTTCGGGTAAACACGCTAGCCAACTAGCCTGTAGACCCCGAGCAGCCATGCACACCCGTCCCGATTTTCCCACATGCCCGTACCGTGTATCCCCAAGCCGTAAAAGACAGATGGTGGATCTGTCTCAACTTTCGTGGCAGCCCTGCACTGTCGATGGCGTGGGAGTTACTTATCTAAACATGTCTTGGTGGTCCCGGTTCTCTCTTCCACGCAGTACAGGCATACTCACTGTGACTGGGTGGGAGTCACAGCGACATCAATATTTTGATGGCGCTGTGACTTGGTGGGAGCCCTACAAGGAAATAAGCAACAATTTGGCAACAAGTTTCCCCTTCCCCCTTAATGAAAATTGGTTATGCCTCTCCACGGGAGCCTGCATGGACTTAAGACCTGTGCTTGCTATTAACGCCTCTGCCTCTAATGGAACCACCAATGTCACCCTTAACTCTGAGGCCGCATGTGTAAAACCGCCCTACTTATGGGTGTTCTCTGTTGACATCACCTTCAAGTGCAGTAACCAATCTTGTTTTACAGGAAACTGCTGGAATGGGTCTTTCCCGTATGCTATGCTGGCTCTTCGACCCCCACTGATGTGGGTTCCCTTTAACGAATCTGTTTGGGTTCATCCCGTCTACCAACAGGACCAGCTACCCATGCTCAGGCATAAGAGGGATTTTGGGATCACAGCGGCCTTGGCAGCACTGTTCGTGACTCTGACTGCAACGGCTGTGACGGCTGCCGTTGCTCTGACTCAGTCCACGCTGACGGCGCAGGCCTTTGCCAATCTTACAGACACCACCTCCTTGGCGCTGAGGGAACAGCAAGAAGTTAACCTCCTCCAGCACAACGCCATAATGGCACTACAGCAACAGATCGACCTAATTGCCCAAGAAGTCCAGGGACTTTGGGAGGTGGCTAACAATTTGTGTGACGCCAGATGGGCATTCACCCAGTTATGCGTTACCCCCATTCAGGTTAACCGTTCGGCCTACAAGCAATTTCAGGATTATGTTCTCACCACCTACAATTCCTCCTTTTGGAATGCTAGCGTGCGCCTAGATATGACCATCCGGCAGCTAGATCAGATAGAAGTACCTATACTTAGAGCCTCCTTTTTTGATGATGTCCTAGGCCAGATAGGCTCTTTCTTCAAACCCTCATCACTTCTTGTGTATGGGATCATTCTTGTTCTCATGGTTGTCGCGGTCGACAACCTGTGCCTGCGGTCGATAAGGACGACCCAAAAGACACATATGGCACTGATGATATTGCTGGCCCAGAGTCAAGGGGATTCCACTCCTAGTGCTTTCTGGGCTCAGGCCAGGAAGGCACGACTCCAATGGTGATTACTTAGTTCCTCAGTGTCACTCGGCGGACCCCTTCGTATCTCCCCCAAACATCAGCTCTAAGAGTTGAGTGGACAAGCCAATGACGGGTAAGACGGGAAAAGTTCTCCTGATCAACCTAAGACAGGCTCCACTCCGATATACTTGGCCTGTAAGGCCGAAGGTCCCTCCGGGAGTAAAGTTAATGGCATTGAGATGCGAGACCAAGGGTACTGCACTGCCATCCGCCTCAAAGGTTGGGGGGAAGACAGGAATGAATGTCTATATGCATCCAGGTTCGGTTCACAAAAGCCTGGCCCTGCAAAAAAATGAACCACTCACCTTGAGCATGGTCCTGGGCCAAGGATATGCACAAAACAAGGTGATGCACAGCAGGGTATAGACCTCTACATTCTCTCATGCCTCGGCCTACAAAGTAGGCCCACTCCTAGACACCTTAAATGGACCCACAGACCACTCTATCTTAATAAATAAAGAAGGGGGAGATGTTGGGGGCCCTGGCCGGGTGATATGAGGCCTGTAGGAAAGAGTGAAGCCTGAGCTAGATTACCCCTCCCATCGAGTGTGCCAAGATGGCGCTTATATCCTGCTTCCTGCTTAGTAAACAACACACCCTGTAAGACAGTCCGCCCAGCAACAACTGCCGTTAGCCAATCAGCTTGCCTTGCCTACTTTAATATGATTGGACACTGTATCCGTATATATACTGGTGCCACCCTTGGGGAGAGGCAGAATAGGAAGGAGATATAGGAGAGAATAGAGTAAGAGAGAAGAAGCGCAGAGAGAAGCACGCAAGGAGCCGCGGAGGGCGGACCAGAGGAGGCTTCCCTCGGGCGGGATCGGGGATCCCGGAGCAGGCTGTACGGAGAGAGAGAATAAACGGAAAGGTTGTCCGCCAACAACTCTTGTCGTGTGCTTTTCCTGCCGGCCGGGACCGACACCGACAACTACTGTTCTATTTATAATGCATGCACAGAGAAATGACTCCAGAAGCAAAAGGGGCTTCTCAGGTGATAAATATTCAGCAGGTAAGTTGCTAATCATTCATAACCCCATATTGTCAGCCCCAATTTTGATATCTGTTTGCAGTGGAGAGTGCAGAATGGTGATTTAGGCCTAGAATCAGCACCTCTCACGTTGGTCCTGGCTATTGCAATGAATCTTTGGCTAAATCATTTGGATTTGCTGAACACATCCCTCCTCCACATCTGTGATATTAAGGAGTTAAGTGATTTTATAAATAATACAGCTTTTCAGTTCTAACATTCCAAGAGTCTAAAAGTCATATGAGATTGAGAATCCTCCACCCCTCCATATGACACATGCAATTAATTTGCAGCATGTTCTCTGACTTTCCGATGCTGCTTTTCCAGTGAAGTAGCCCAACACTAATACAGGACTTTAGATGGACTTTGGTCAAAGAGAAAGAAAAACATACCAGCAGGCAACTTGGCAACAGAGTAAAATTTGCAAACTGGTGGATAAAATTACTTTTTCTATCTTTGCTGCAGCATGTTTTCCTTTTAAGTCTTTCCTCTCACAGATTCCTCAGAACTCAAGCCTCTAAACTTTGTATATGGAATCTCCACCCTGACTGATGCCAGCTCTTTCAATGACCTGCTTTCTAAAGTTAGCAATTTTCATAGGTTGGAAAATATTTCAAAATACATTTATGAATTCTGAGATATAGTGTTAGATTTTCTCATTGACCGTATTGAGTAAGTCAAATTTGAACTTCAGGTAGACGTGGAGTGATTAAATGTACCCAAATTACATGGGACAAATTTGCACTAAATAATGATTTCTTGTTAATCTGAATTTCAAATTTAATGAAATATTTTATAATTTTTATTTGCGAAATATGGCAAGTTTCTTTATGGGAAAAAGAATGTTTATTTAGTCTTTTGGGCAGAATTGAGGTCAAAGGTGTTTGAAACTAGAACACTGAAGACAATCTGGGCTACTTTTCCCATTTTGACACTCCAGTGTTAAACAGCTATGTGCTGTTGATGTGTTTTCAGTGGGTGTAATTATTTGTGTTTGAATCTCTCATAAGTCTGTTTTATTTAAAGAAAAGCACACTCAGAACATTAAACTGTCTCATGAAATCAAAGAGATTCTAACCATTGATATGAAGACTTCTAAAGGATGTAACATACTTTGGCCCACTTCTTTGACTGTGTTCTTTGAACTAATTGGGAAATATTGTGTGCTGGCAGGCTTTAATGGAGAAATATGTTTCCCCTTAAGAGTGATTTGTCTAATTGGCTGAAGAAATGCTTTTTCTCTGCCTCAGAAAGCTTTTTCTCATTTGCTAATGGTGATGCCTCCCCACTTTTCCCAGCCCCCAGGGCATATGCTGCACTCAGTTCACTGAACTCTGGAATTTTCTGTCATCAAGCTGGACAAGGTTTCAGATCCACTTGCAACAGGCCACTTTTTCTCTCTGGGCTGCTGTTGTTTCCTGTAGAACTTGTGCTGGAGAAGACAGCATCTGGGATTGCACAGCATAACAGCTCTAATATAGTTTAGCAATGGACCTGTATGAAACGAGGGCAAACCAAGAAGAACAAGATTCAGTACTGCTTATGGTATCTTTACAAGTTTCACTCCGCCCAGGCCTTTGCCTATAGTGAGACTAGGTTGTCTAAAGAATCTACATGTTTGCTTCATTCTACGGTCAGCACCCTCAAGACTCCAAAGAATTTTAATATTTTTCTATAAAAACAAAATTTAGCTATAATGTGTTTATTTGGTTCTTTGTCTATCCTTTGTACACAACTTAAAGTTCAAGTAAAATTTCCAGGTGGATGCTTGGGAAACAAAGGTGAATTCCCTGCATTCAGACAAATGAATGGAGAAGCCAGTTCCGATAGCTGTATTAAATATGGAAAGCCAGACAAGCGGTGAGTTCAGGAAGCCCAGTGAGTCATAGTGACTCATACCTTTGTATCAGTGCAAAGACAATGCTTATGGAAGGACTTTATGATCTGTCCCAGACTGTGTTCATTATGAGTTTTATAATATTCATTATTCTTCACACTCTAGACAGGACACTGATGTAATCAACAGGATTCTGAAGAAAAGCAGGTGAAAATAAACAGTTATGACCTTCCTCTGTTTAACAGTCATACCTTGAAGAATGGAGCAGATGTGAGTCTCACCACTTCCTTTCAAAGTATAAAGTCAAGGTTATTCCATTGTATTTTCTATACATTCAGTTTTGGTGAGGAAATTATTTTGATTTCAAATAGAAATCAGAGGTTCGTATTTGATGTCATTGCAAAATGCTTAAAGGCAGATAATATTTTCTGTAAA